CATTTTTCAATTTCAACACTAGTAAATTTCGTCACGAATCATCGTATAAAATACCGAAACGATAAATATCCGTCGGTCTTTACATTAATTGTCCCTTATATTTACTGTTATAAATTATAATTRTATAGTAGTAGTTGAATATCGAGATAATTTTATAACGATTTAAGTGGCGGCGGCTTTAATTATTGGAAGAAATTACGTTTACYGGCGATAACGGTACATCGATATAACAACGGTCTGCGAAACTGGTAGACTTGTGCACGGCGCGAATTAAAACTAAATTCTCTATATTAATTTTCGTAAAGAAAAATTTATTCTTTAAAAGATATCACCCTCGGCCGTGCCTTGTGCCTTACCGATTTTTATCTGGCCGAGTTAAAGCTAGTTTAAAGCTATTTGAGTAGGTTTACAAACAAAAATATAATATCAACATATTGTACCTAATTTATATAAACGTCTGTTTATAATACGTCGCTTTCTTCCAGTCCGGTCCGGAATCTGGATTATGTTTTTAACCGTTATCGRTATAAGTCTAAGCCGTCTAAGGTATAGATTTTTCTCTGTTTATACCATCGTCTCGGTACACGTATAACACATTCAGATATACCAATGGTGTTAAAATAGAATAGCTATTGTTATATGTACATACTGTACTAAGTTATGCTACTTGGAGGCCAATTTTAACATAATATCGCCATTTATTACGCCTTCACCATATTTTTCCATCTACTCTTTTTCGAAACGGAAAAATATTTTCATTAGCTTTCCACTATTATATAWAAAAAAAACCGTCGGTGTCAATTGAAATCTATCTTTCGTTTTTCAGTCGATCGGGCTATTATCGAGTTGTCTCGGTGGTAGGTACAATAGACGAGCATGTGTATACTAAGATGTAATTATTAATTTGATAATTCACAAATAAAACATTATGTAATTCATAGAGTTATAACACGACGGGGAAATATAAAACAAACACGATTCTTCATCAGGATGTAAATATAGGCGTACTGTGGCAGACGTGTTTAAAACAATTTTTACTCTAAAATAGAATGGCCTTTCCAAGTTAAATAAACTCTCCGCACTGACGCGATATCGCTGCATCTCTAKCTGCGGATTAGCGGAGTGTGATTTAAATTAAAACATTGCTACAATTTAATCTCCAAAGTCGAAAATGTGTATGTATTATTATACTTATTTAATAGATAAGTCTTCCCWGAACTTTTGATTTTTCTCGTTATCAAAAAAATGTCCGCCTCTAAATATTGTCCGTCTAGGCAAAACTGCCACTTTTCGCCACTCCTCGCGACACTGACTATACGATAAATTAGATATATTATGTAGTAATGTTTAGTATTATTTTGTAATACTATACATTACAACTATACTGTCTCTCAAGTGTCAAATATTTGTTGAATCTTGAAAGTATAAGATTACGTAAACATTAAATGGCAATCCTTGTACGTAAGGCAGTAGTGGGGGTGGATGAACACATTTCAAAATGCCATATGGATCTCATCATATTCGAGGGGCTACGTAAACTAGAGCCGTGAGCTGTTTTACCTCAATAACAGATTACAACTTTAACTAATTTAATGGATAAAAAAACGGCCCAGGGTCATTGGTTTGATATATTTTTTTAATGCTTCAATTTTATAAATTATGTGTTTATTTAGCCTAACCATATCAGGCATTACTATAGAAACTTTTACATAATTATAATTATTATTATTGTAATTTATGCTCTCCCCTTCTCGAATCTTAGTATATAATAAATAAGATATTTATGCAGGGTTGAATGACAAATTGATTAATTTAAATTAGTTAAAAATTGTTTAGATTATTTAATTGTTTAATATTGGTGAACTAATCATAATGGGTCATCAAATCACGTTTACTGAACCATATCAGCTCACTATTGATAATACATTTTTAGTGATTATTCATGTATAGTTGTTATCCATTTTTTAAT